ATAAGGAGTAACTCTTGTGCTTGACCTTGGGGAAGTTCTATAAGCCCACAATACATCCAACAATAAGTTATGTCAATCCCTAGGATTGTCTTCCACAACCTTTTGTATTCCTTTCTTCAAGGACTTATTGGATGATTCCGCTTGACCATTGGCTTGTGCATAATAGGGGGTGGAATTAACAAGGCTAATTCCAAACTCTGTCACAAAAGACTTCACCATTTTCCCATCGAACACAGTCCTATTATCAACAATTATAGTTTGTGGGACGCCAAATCTATGGATTAAATCCTTGATGAATCCAATGACCTCAGTCTGGTCTACAGCCTTGTATGGCTTAGGTTCAACCCACTTAGTGAAGTAATCAGCGGCCACTAAAATGAAACAATGATGCTTCAAAGAGGGTGGGTGTATTTTCCCCATCATATCCATGGCCCATCCTCTGAATGGCCAAGGCTTTACTACTGCATGCAGGTCAGTTATGGGCACATGCCTTATTGTGCCATGCTTTTGGCATGCTTGGCAACCTTTTACATATTCTATGTAGTCTTTAAAGATAGTTGGCCAATAGTAGGAATGCCTTCGAAGCAACCACCTCATTTTCACACCAGGCTGATGAACACCACAGATGCCTTCATGAACCTCAGCCATAGCTGTTAATTGGGCCTAAACATTCCAGCAATAAACCATCTCCCCCTCTTTTGTAGAGAGCATTGCTGTATTCACTACAAGAAATTGCACTTTTGGCAACTACTTTTGGCGACGACATCAATTTTTCATAGCCAAAACTATAGTTTTGGCGACGCAGTGATCAATTTCGTTGGTAAAAGTAGACCTTTACCAACGCAATTTACTACCGTCGCTAAAAATGCATAACATTCACTAGGCGCCAAAATTATTAGTTGGCGCCAAATTTTCAAAAATTTTAGCTACGAGGCCTATTTTTTAGCAACACAATAAGCGTTGCTATTAGTGTGCTTACTTTTGGCAACGAAAAGTTGGTGTAGACAAAGAGTTAAACATTTAGCGACGATAACACTATTCGTCGGTAAATATTTTGCAGAAATGAGGTGATTTGATGAATTGTGTTTTTATTATAACTTTTTAAATTTTTTTAAATATTATAGTTATTAAATTGTAAATTTAAAGTGATCATCAGATTATATCACAAAATGAACCCATTAAGCCCAAACACACTATTAGTTGAGATGACTAATTTGAAATAATCTAAAGTTTTTCAAAGAATGTGATTAGATTATCAATTTTAATATGTTTGGTTTTATTTTCAGAAAATTGTTTCAAATTTTTTTTCCCAAAAACTAAAAAAAAAATGATGAAAAAAAAAACTCATTATTTTTGTATAATTTTACCTTTTAAGAGATCATAAATAATTTTTAAAATTTAAAAAATATATTTTTGATTTTTATAATTCTCAAATTTAGTTTTAATTTTTTTCAAAAAAAAAAACTAAAATTTGTTTTTATTATTATTATTATTATTATTATTATTATTTTGGTGATCTGCCTCTAAAAATTGAGGCGGTTCCTATCAAAATTCCCTCTTTTTTTCTAGGATAGATAAACCCCTCTTTACTCTCCACGATTTTCATTCTTCGGTAGCGGCGAGATTTCAACCTGGAAACAGTGCTCTCTCTTCGACGGTGAGGCTGCTTGGGCGGCGACGACGATGGAAGGGTTTCGTTCTCTTCTCTTCGATCAGAAAAAGTATCAATTCGATTGTTGAGGTATGTTCGGATTCTACGCTTCTCTCTCTCTCTCTCTCACACACACACACACACACACACATTCACTCCATATTTGTTCGATTATTTGGTGTTTTTAATTGCAATTTCGATTATCGGTTTGTAGAATTTTGATCGATGGATTAATGTTATGGGTGTTGGATCTATTTGAGTGTTGGGTTTGTTTGGGTGTCAACATTGAGACTCTGGTTCATCAACTGTTTCAAATGCTGCAACAGAGCCTAATCGAACCTTCATGAAAATGAAATTAATGGCTACAAATCTATGTTTATACAAAGAAGGTTTGATATATATATATATATAATATACCTTTCAGACGAATCCCAAGCCTGTGGAAATGGCAATGGATGAGTCGGTTCTTTAACATCCCATGAGAATCCAGGCATCTTTTTTATCAAAAGAATTTCTGAATATTGATTTGTTTTCTCAATTTACTGGCTAATTTGTTGGCATTTCATAGAGTAGTTTTCATTAGGATTTGAGCTTGTGTTGTTTTTGGTGATGTCTTCAGTCATTTCCATTTGGAAAATATATTTTCTTTTCTTTCTTACAATTTGTTAATTTTCTTGTATGGCCACTTTTCTCATCTATGGTCATTGATACTGTTTTTTCCTTTTTGCTCATATGTTTAGCTAATCATATTGTTGCATCATATCTGTTTTCTACAAATTGTCTCTGTAGTAGCTCACATGGACTAGATTTATGTGACTGCAGGTTCATATAATTGTTCTTATTGTTTTTGTGTTATTATTATTATTGGTTGGATCAATCCTCATTTTCAATTGGTTCAAAACTGGAATGGGCTCATTTCTTGTTGATTTGCTTGGGCTTGAATTTTTGCATGTCTTCAATTCTTGTAATGCTACACAGAACGCATCTCTGATATTAGTTCTTTTACTGGCTAAAGCTAAAGGACATTACCACAAACTAAGTGCTTATTCTCTATATTAATTTATCTTTTGGTTTTTTTTATCCCCAGATCTGAGCAAGACAAGGAGCCAGAGCAAGTAACTATGTCTGAAGTTGTGGGCTCTAGCCCTTCTGAAGAATGTGTTACAGATAGTATGTGATCCAACCTGTGAAGTTGTTAGAATTTGTCTGTTTTGTTTTTTTAAGTATTGGATGGATGAAACGAAGTTGAAAGAAATAGTACTGAATTTCGGCATTGAATGCTTGTTTTAATTTATTTTTTTAGAAGTATTTCGGTATTAATTTTTTTCCATTAAATGCTTGGACCTGATATCCGTGTTGTTTATCAGCTCCTCAGGAAATTGATGAGTATGAACTTGTTGATCCTGTTGATATATTGATTCTTTTAGAGAAGACAAGATTTTAGGATGGAGTGGTAAGTCCTCTCAATCTTTTTTTCATGTTATTCACTGACTTTTAACTTTGTGCTTCTAGTTTGTAATTGTGCTCTCTAATTAATGTGAGGAAAATCCAATTTATTAGCTTTCCTCTTTAACTATGTGAAGCTTAAACCAGGTGAAGCATTGTATCTAGGGGCAAATGAAGTCCATGCCTACTAACATGGTGAGTGTCTTGAATGCATGGCAACTTCAGACAATGTTGTGTGTGCTGGCCTAACTCTAAAGAGCCGGGATGTCCAAATTCTTTGTTCCATGCTCATACAAACAGATGAGGATATTTTTCATTGAAAAATGTTCTGTTTGTTTTGTGGTTCTTGCTCCTTCTATTTTTATTTTTTCCTTTTTTAATATTAAACCTAACTAATTCATGAGGCCTCTAGTTCATAAAACCCTGTAATATCCAAGTGTGCTTTCCTTTATAATATAAGATGCCAGAAATTAGATGCCCTGCTAAATTGACTATATGGGTGGGCAAAACATTTTTCTTGTTAAAGCATAAAGAAGGGCAATCTACCTCCAAAATAGCTACTTTCATGCCTGTTTATATTCCCCACTTTCCATTCTTTTTGTCCACTAATGCATTTTGGCATATTCCAATATTGTTGTCCATTTTTAAAAGAAAGGTATTTTATTTTGCATTTTACAATATCATTATTTTTGGATGAGTATGAATGCATTTACCAAATCGAAACAAATTAAACCTTGTGTCTCAATCAAGTGGGGGTGGCTACATAATTTTTTTTTTTTTTTTTTGGTCATTTAGCTCTAGCAAAGTTTGTATGTTCTGTTAAATTAAATAAATTTATATTTTCTTTGATTGTGGTGAGTATGCATCACATGTCAGCTCAAGTCTTCCATGTTAAGCAGTTCTCTCTCAACTTATTTTCAATAAATGCTATTCCTACCATTTCATGAATATATTCATTTCTAATCTATCTTTTTTAGTTTTACCACAAATCTATCCAAAGCATTCTCATCTCAGTTGCCCAACACTTTCTTCCATAAAGCAGAATTGCTGGCCTTCTATTGAGTATGAATGCATTTAATAGAGTAAAATAGAGGGATGGTTTTGGAAATTTAGACTATATTAGTTGGTTATGAACACAGTCAATGCATATCCCCTTAAAAATTGTATTTAATCAGTGGCTTATTAAATACAGCCACATCACCGCATGTTTTTGTGTGCACATGTAGATGCAACTTCTTCTTAAACACACTTTTATACTATTCTCGAGAAGTTAACAGAGACTAGTGGATGACTATGAATGTGTGTTGCGACAATTGGGTCATTAATCATTACATTGGATTCCAACCTCAAGTATGCAGTTCTTCCCTACTGAAACAGTGAAATGTAGAAATTGCTCTCTTCATTTTTACATTTTCGAAACTAGACTTTGCAAATGTTGTGCCCTCTTTCTATTGGCTTCTTGTGCATTGCTGATGTTGCAACTTTTTGGCAATTTACTAGTTTTAAGTTTCACTTCACCAGTGTGAAAGATATTGTTTAATTATCTTGGTTGGGTTAGTCTGTTCTCTATTGTCATTGCATGATTTGATATTTTGTGCATGTACCACAGATTTTTACAGACATACCATCATGCTTAAATCTGAGATGTGGTTATCTTGTTAGTAAATATATGCGCATGCACTTCTGTTGATTTGATATGGACTTTCATTGACATTTAGAACCTGGAGTAATTGGAATTGATTGATATTTACTTCCATTTTGGGGAATCCTTTTTATTTTTAATCCTCCAGAATTTATCATTTCATGGTAATTTGATGACCAATATATTTACATTGCGCCATTTAATTTATCATGAATTTTTTTTTGATTGTTTAAAAGTGTCTGTGGTTGAGGTATTCACAGGTTTAGTCTTCTACGGTAGGAGATGAATATTTAAAGTGTATTATCATATGAAATTTCAGTAGGTTGGTTGTAACAGTACAATTTTGTTGTTGATGGAAACTTGAGGGTCCAATTGTCTTCTAATTTTGATTGTGATATCATTAAGTGACTTTTTCTTATCTTTTAACTGATTGATCTTTGAAATATAAAGGACGATGTTAAGTATATATACATATATGTATTTATATAGACATTGTAACTTACATTGGCATCTAATGCAGGTGCGTTTGATTGGGTATTGCGTAGAGGGCTCTCTTTTTCTAGTCTATGAATTTATCGAGAATGGCAATTTAAGTGAACATTTACGTGGAGGTGAGATAAGATGTGCATGTCAAGACTTTATCTAGCAGTAGTGCTTTTAAACAATGCTGGTGGTTCAATTTATGTTTGCAGGTTTAGTTAGTTGATTGGTTTTGTTTCTTGGTTTTGCTTTCTTTTGCTAGCTTATTTCTGGGGCATTTTTGTATTATTTGCATCATCTTGATGTTGCCTTAATGAAGTAAGTTTATTTATCAAAAAAAAAATTTATGTTTGCAGGGAGGGACCCCCTACCATGGTCTACAAGGGTGCAAATTGCCCTTGATTCAGCGAGAGGACTTGAATATATTCATGAGCATACTGTTCCCGTCTATATCCATCGTGATATCAAATCAGCAAATATACTGATTGACAAAAACTATCGCGGCAAGGTTGTGTTGATGCTCTTTTCTTTGCAGTCCTATAGTCGTTGTCAACCATGTGATGGTCATCATAATTGTGGTAAATATGTCTTTTCCAGGTTGCAGATTTTGGTTTAACAAAGCTGACTGAAGTAGGGAGTACTTCGCTGCCCACACATCTTGTGGGTACATTTGGATACATGCCACTAGAGTAAGATAACTTCTTTATTTACTTATATATAAAAGAAAATCAATATCAGCAATTAATCATAGAATTGGGTGATGTCATTCCAACTCTCACCCAATCCATAGATTCATGGTCAACCTTTTCTTATAGAGCCTGAAATTTATCATTGGGTGGTACTATCGGACTTTAACCACATATTTGGAAATTATTGTCTGGAACCTCCCAATGAAACTTGACGAAGAAGCCATAAATAGCTTTTGGAATGTTTATGTCAAAAATGCTCTCACAAAAGCCTGGTTCAGAAACTTTTTGGCTAAAAATTATGGATGAATGGTGCATCAAAACCAATCATCTTATAATCCATGGAGCAGCAGATGCGAAATTCCCTTGATGTGAATCTTTTAAAGGTCTGGGCACAAATATATGGCTCATACTTGTGTATTAATCTCGACTCCTTAGCAAATTGAGAGAATGAGAGAAACTTGCCGAGTAAGTTCTTAGCATCCTCTCTTTCTCAAAAATGAAAAGGAAATTTTATAAGTTCCATTTGCATGAGGTAAACCTCTGTCTTATTATACTGTTTGTTCATGGCTTTTATCATTACCTTATCCAAAGTTGCCTTCTACTTTTGCTAATTTGTCTCTTTCATTGTGCAAGTGTATTTGTAGTAGTGGATAGGAAAGAATGAATTTGATGTGAACAGTAGACAAGGAAGGCTAATCAAGATTTGCATTGTGGATAGGAAAGAAGGAATTGACAATGATTGGTGGCAATGAAGATAATGATTCATAATTTGTTATGATGGCATTTGAATTTAAGTCTATTTTCCTTTTTATCACCTTTTAGCCAAGTCTTTATTCATGTGTGCATTCTCTTTGCTTCTCTTCCTGGAATACTCTTTGTTGTGAATGGGGTTTGTTTTGGTAATTTGAAAAGTTTTGTGCTGTGGATGAACAAGAATTAAGGGCTAATGTTGAATTCTTCTAGAATGCAGTTATCCACTTTGACATGCCATCTCTTTGGTATTTCTTTATTTTGTAACCATATTCATTCTTATCAAAATTGAATTAATTCAATGTAGGTAGATTTTTCTAATGTTCAACTTATATCTACTCTGTTTTAGGTTAGATTTGTTCAACAAAGATTGGATTCTACTCTCATCTATTCATTTTAGGCCCTGATTCTTGAAATCAAGTGATTATTAAGGTAAATGTTTTTCTTTTATTTCATTAGCATAAGAAATATGAATGAAATTATGGAATTCAGAATGTTTGAATTGATTAGTATATTTAAGTGATTTACAGATTATAATTTTATAATTTTTATATTTTATTTTTATAGTTTTTATTTTACTTTTTATTTGTATCTCATAATGCATGTTATCAACTTATTATGATATCTAACTTTTCGAGGCCCTGCTCATATAACACCTAGCTTATTGATGAATTCAACCTTATATGTTACTTCTGTTAGATCGCTACTAATCCCAAAAGGTCAAGTTGTGTGGAAAGAGGCCCAACAATGCTTATTGAGCTCTCCGACACCCTCGTCATGTGCAATCCCGTCTTGCATGTGGAGATGAAAACATTCTAACATGTGGAGAAACAAAATGCAAACAAGGAAACAAATGCATATAGAGAACTTGAACCTAAGACCTTCATTAACTTGTGGTTTGACACCATATTAGACGACCACTAGTAGTCCCGAAAATTTAAGACCTTAGGAAAGGGGCCCAACAATCATTACTTTGCTCTCCAATACTGTCACTTGGATTTATCTTTGAAAATGAATTTTCAGTTAGCCTTGATGCATCACTGCAGTATGTACTAAGCATTGTAGTCTATCATGGTTACTTGCACTTTTTTACCCCTTTATGTCATTTTCAAGTATGGCTAGTCAGAGTGTTAATGTAAATCAAGTATGATGTATCCACTTCCTACCGTGTCATTTACATGTAAGTTTGTGCACTTTTGTGTTATTTCTTCCCTGAGAAGAACCTAATTGGGTCTGTGATGTGCAGGTCCCCATGGATCATACCAATTCAAAGATTGGAACAGATGCACCACCAAGCAGTACTCCAAACTGGACAATTAATCTTTCAGATGCAAGGAAAATACTTACTAAAAGTGCACACTAGTCGGTGCTTATAAGTTCTTTTTATTCATAAACTGGGCATCAGTGTGAATGGCTAAACCACTAGTTGGTGATTATAAGAACTGCTTTTTATGAATTGGGTATCAGTGTGAATGACTACACTTTTGTCTTCAAATTCCTATATTCGGATATGTGTGTCCCCCTTATGTCACCAAGATGATGAGCACAGAATTTTGGACTTTGTTGAAGTGACTGAGATTCTGTCTTGCGTGAATCTATTATCTGCTAGTTTAACCAGTTTTGATTTCTTTAAATTTTGTTTTGCAAGTGGCAAGAACCACGCCGCATTCAAAATTCAGTTAATGCAATTTGAATATTTCTTTTCCATAATCACATTTTCTTAGTGTTACATGTACTTAGCTATTCTTTTACTTTTTTTTCTTTTTTTTTTTTCATAGGTAAGAACAGTTAAAGTTAGTAATATCTCACTAGCTACCTTTGAGAAGGATATTAAGGAATTCTTCTCTTTTTCTGGTGATATCCAGTATGTTGAAATGCAAAGGTCAGCTCTCTCGACTTACCTAGTGTTAAATTTCTTGCATAATCAATGCTCCATAGAGTTTGTGGCACGTTCTGCAGGGAAACTGAAACATCTCAGCTTGCATTCGTTACCTTCAAGGAATCACAGGGAGCAGATACAGCTATGCTTTTGACAGTATGTCAATTGATTTTCCATATCAGTCTTGATCAGATTTTTTTCATTATTAATTTTTAAAATAAAAAGATTTTGATTGAACGATGCAGTTCTGTACAATGTTGTAGAAATCAAACGTATCTGGAAGGCATGAAACCCTAATGTATGAAACATGTGCCTTATATTTTGTAAAATTAGGAAATTTCTGAAATATTCAGTTTAATAAAGATGTACGCAGAAAAATACAGAAAGAAAAGAAGATAACAAAACTTTACTTGCAAAGAAAAAATTCTCAGTTAGGGGCTCACTCCTTGGAAATTTTTTGTCATGTGAACCGCAAGGTCTCACCTGAACAGTTTTTTAAGCCTCCTAATGGAAAGCTTGGATGTGTAAGCTTCCCAATCTTTAGAAATATTTTCTATGCAAATGGGTGCCATTTCAAAATTTCTATTAACCCTTAGATTTATTTTATATTTTTTATATTTTTGGCCTTTTTGATTCTGGGATTCACAATTGCTGATCTTTCAGTCTCTATTACACGGGTTGAGAATTACCAGCTGCCTCCGGATGCTCCTCCCCTAACCCCTGTAAGTACCACGGCTGTTAAAAATAATACTTTGGTATCTGTTTTTATAATACTGTTCTATCTATTCATTCTGAAAATTTATAGATAATGCGAATGTAAAAAAAGTTGGATGGGCTAATGACAGGTAAATTGGTCATGGACCTACTCACCTGATCCTGAGGCCCACATTGTTGTTTTTTGGAAACCTTAGTCGCTTTACTCCTAGAAGGATATAAAACCAAAGAAAATTATCAGCGAACAAGCAAAAATAATAATGATGGTGATAATAACAATAAAATAAATACCTCTAAAAGAGAGAAATGAATGACATAGGAAAACTTCTTGATGATCAAGGTGTGATATGGTGGTAATTGTTTAAGACTGAAAACTCCCCTCCTTGGGCTATGTTTGCTTGAAGGATTTGTAGAGAGAAAGGAAGGCAAAATAAATAAAATAGAAATTGTATTTTTGTCACATTTCCCTTATTTTTCCTTTCCCACCACTAATCCCCACTCAAATCCTAGTCCCAAACACAGTCTTAATGTCACAGGTTTGCTAGTTGTTATTCATGTCTTGATGGTCAAAACCAGCTGATTGCAGCAGCAAGCAAAAACAGGTCAAACCCTCTGATGTTTTAGTCAGTGAAGAAAACAAACTAGAAAACTTTGAAAGTGATTATATATTTGAAACCAGGTGAACTTATAAGCGGGACACACATGTCCATTACTTGGAAAGACATGAAACACATTATAATTTTGAACAAAATAGCTTGGAGGATATATTAATAAGAGAAAAAACAATATAGATTTATACTATTAATCTCTCTTTCCTTTAAACGTGGGAATTAGCTCATTGTGGGTGCCACTTTTTACTTGCTGATCACTAGTATGGTTGCCTCTTACCTATAGTTTTTAAGTTTATGTTTCTTAGTGAATGCAATCATTTTATTTGTTTTCTTCTTGTTGCCAAATTATTGAATGATGTGAACTTGATAATGATTAGGAGTTTTGTATTGTAATATCATAGAATCTGAAACTTCTGTACATATCGTAGAGATAATGCATATGCTTTCCATATCAGAAATCATTGAAATGGACCTTATCTGAATATTAGTAGAGAATCTGAAATTAGTTTGCCTTGTGTAAATTATTGCCATTGTTGCAGGTGAATGATTTGTAACTTGGACAACATTTTTTTTCACTGGAGTGTAGAATGCATTGGATCTACTGGTACTGATTGTTTTAGTATAGTTGGAAATTGAAGGTTTTTAATTTATTTTATTTTTTACTAGATGATGGTAAAAGCTTTATGTTTTGGCCAGTACTTGCGCTTGCATATCTATTAACTCACACACAGAGACTGCTACCAGGTCAATAAAAAAGCTAATGGACTTTGTTTTGAAATTTGTCATTGATCAATACAGACTGCTACCAGATCCTTCTTTTTTGCTGGTAGCTAATGGCTGATGGTTGTTGCTTGTTGTTCTGCTGCAGCTGCTGGTTTGTTGTTGCTACCACCCTCGTGGCTAATGCTTGCTGGGGGGCTGCTGCTGTAATGTTGCTGTGAGGCGGCTGCTACTAGATGTTGGTCTGCTAGATAAGTTTGTGGGTGATTTTCATGCCGTTTTGCCTGTATTTGTTAGTTTCATGTTTTCATTTTGTTATCTGTTGTTTCTAATATGGGTTCACAATTTGGATGTATTTGGGTATTTTAGTGACTTTACCCTTTTAGGTTTTATACATTGCTTCTAAAAGCAGTATCAGTAGTTTTTTTTTTAGCTTGCACATCAACTTTAGGTGATTTCATATCAATGTTATTAGTTTGTAATAGTGGTGCCTGATGAATGCCTCTTGTAAATCTGTAAATCTTATAAAAATATATAAATTATTTTCAATTATTTTTGTTAATAAATGTGTCACCGAAAGTTTATTTTTGTCCACTCATATTGTGTTGCTAGAAGTGTATGTTTTGCCAATGCCAATTTGTCGTTGCCAAAAGTAAACCTTTATCGACAAACAAATCGTCAGCAAATGGCAATATTTAGTGACGTAAATGTGTTGCCAAAAGTTTACTGTTGCCCACTCATATTGTGTTGCTAAAAGTGTATTTTTTGCCAATGCTAATTTGTCGTTGCCAAAAGTGAAGTTTTATCGACAAACAAATCGTAGGCAAATGATAACATTTATCGACGTACATGTGTCGCCAAAAGTTTACTTTTGCCGACGCATATTTTGTTGCTAAAAGTATATTTTTTGCCCATGCAAATTTGTGTCGCGAAAAGTGCCAAACAATCATCATATTTGAATGACTTTTACCGACGCAAGGTAAATTGCCGACGATGGATGAAGGCTTTTATCGACGACTATGTCCATCGCTAAAGGCATTACTTTTACCAACGCAATGATAATTTCGTTGGCAAAAACTTTTGCCGACTCACTTTTGCCTACGAGTTGCCAACGTAGCTTTGTGTGTCGGCAAAACTCTTTGCCGACGAATTTTCACAGATGCCTTCATGAACCTCAGCCATAGCTGTTAATTGGGCCTAAACATTCCAGCAATAAACCATCTCCCCCTCTTTTGTAGAGAGCATTGCTATATTTGATGTATTGCATAGATTGAAATTTAATTTTTCTGCTAGCTTTCGAGGATGGGCCAGCCAAGTACTGCATTATTGGATGCCTCCAATGTTGTTCCTGTAAGTCATTATGATTAACTTCCAGGACTATATTCCTTTTATTTAAGGGTGGTATAGATTTCTGGTATGTTGTTTGGCTTATGTCCCTTTGAGTATTATCCCTCATCTTGAAATTCGAAGCTTTCTGAGCCACATCATTAGCTCTATTATTCAAGAATCTTGGGACATGAGTTACATTTGCTATTTGAAATTGAGAAACCAGATGTAATGCAACAACATAGTATGGCAACATTCTTATACTTTGACATTTGAAAATTCCTTTTACTTGGTTAACCACCAATTGAGAATCTTCAAATACGTCGACTGCATGAACTTGTAATCCAATAAGAATTTCCAGTCCCACTATTAAGGCTTCATACTCAGCTTGATTATTAAAACAAGTAATTTCATCCACTCTGAAACCATGTGTGGTTTCTACTCCTTGTGGTGACTTAATCACTATACCAATTCCAGTTAGGCCATTGGCTTTCAATCCATCGAACCACATTTGCCATGGCTCAATACTAGCCATACCAAGTTCCATTATCTCTTGGCTTTCTGTTTGAGATGGATGGTCTGCCAAAAAATTGGCTAAAACTTGTCCTTTCACTGCCTTTTGGGGAACATATTCTAAATGAAGTTCTGATAAAGCTAATACCCATTTGCTAATTCTTCCCCTCAACATAGGTCTAGATAACATATACTTAACCAAATCTGTGGTTGCAATTACCAAGATAGTTGTAGGCAAAAGATAATATCTTAATTTCATTGCAGCAAAATACAATACAAGGCACAACTTTCCTACAGCTGAATATTTACATTCACAAGAATTTAAAAACCTACTAAGGTAATAAACAGCTTGTTCCTTGCCTTCTTCATTGTCTTGGGCTAAGAAAGCTCCCAATGAATCTTCTGCTGCAGCTATGTACAACTTCAAGGACTTATCACCCTTTGGTGGCATCAACACTGAAGGGTTGGCCAAGTAGGCTTTGATACCTTCGAAAGCAATTTGATGCTCTACTGTCTACACAAATTCCTCTTCATCTTTTAGCCTTAATAAGGAAGAAAATACTTTAGTTTTCCCTGCAGTGTTAGAAATGAATCTTCGAAGAAAATTAACCTGTCCAAGGAACTTTTGTAATTCTTTCTTACTTGATGGAGGTCCGGCTTCAATGATGGCTTTGGCTTTTTTCTGGTCAATCTGTAGTCCTCTCTTGTGTACTACATAGCCCAAGAAGTTTCCAGATAATATGCCAAAAGCACACTTAAGAGGATTGAGTTTCAACTTGAACTTTCTCATTCTTTCAAAGGCTACTTCTAAGTGAAACAGATGCTCCTCCATGGATTGGGATTTAACTACAACGTCATCAATATAACACTCTAAATACCCTTCAATGAGGTCATGAAAGATAGTGTTCATAGCCCTCTGATATGTAGCCCTAGCATTCTTCAGGCCAAATGGCATTTTAACCCATTCGAAGGTGCCAATATTTCCAGGACATCTGAATGTTGTCTTGTGAACATCGTCCTCTACAATGCAGATTTGGTTATAACCAGAGTGCCCATCCATCATTGATAAAATTTGATGCTCTGCTGAACTGTCTATCAACAAATCTACTATAGGCATAGGATACTTATCTTTCGGAGTTGCTAGATTCAAGTTTCTAAAATCAATGCATACCCTCATTTTACCATTCTTCTTAATTACAAGCACAATATTGGATAG